TATTCCTATATTTTATCTAAATTTAAACACTTGAATATTTTTGAATGTAAGGAATCAATTTTAAAAAGGTACTACTATTAATGTCACTCTACCTTTAAACATACTTGAACACATCCATCATTTATTTTGGCTAACTTCAATTTGTGCCTCAGGAGAAGTATGCATGAAAAACATTTTGGGGGCTCCTAGTAGCAGAAACAGAACTTACTAGTTTCAAGCCTTTAATTCATCCTTCAAGCATTAGTTCAAATTTTTGGCATAGCCTTCCTGACTTGGCCATTCAGAGATAGCCTCTCCACTGCATTTCAATCAAATTCAACAATTGTTGCTGCAGCTCTCTTAGTATACATTGCAAGTATTCCTTTTTTAGTGAAGTAGACTACTGTAAGGTATGGACTAATTAACATGTGTTGAACACCACATCCGTAAATATGTTAATCATATAACATATGATTAAGTAGCCTGTGAGGCAGCTATCCCCAGTTTCTTGGCTGAGGCTTGGATCCTAAGCTTATTTCTCAGGCCATATGGAGTTAACAGGAGGGAAACCTCTGGCTCACCCTAGTACGATGACTGTAAGCCTCAGTGTTGGTAGTGGGCAGCTATATGTCCACGGAGAGTAAATACCTGTGATGTTCAGCATGCTGCCCTTAGCATGTCTAACCCTGCTAGTAGCCCTAATGTAACACTATGATACTCCAGATGTGGAAATTAAATTCCAAGATGGGACTGAACTCATGTCCTCTAACATGGGATCAAGTCCTTGTCCTGGGAACTGAACAAGCTCTCATACATAAGAGGTGGTGAAAGCATGCTAAGATCCAGTGCATAAAAGCCAAATTCTCATGTGGAGGACCACAGACATGTATACGGAATAATGTGAGCTCTCAGTGCAGTTTCAACTACATCTAAAGAAAATTTTCTTAATATTGTTTTTATTTGACTACATGCTATCACAACATCACAATATTCAAATAATCTCCTCAAATGAAAAGAACTGAAATGGTTTTCTGCGACTGAAAATAAGTAGAAAATAAAAATATTATTTTAAGAAAATAGCTTAAATGGAATTACTGATGTTTTAATACAGTAAAATAAGGCGCTTGATTGGAACAATAACATATAGACCACTGTAAAAATCATTGCAAATATTCCAAGTTTTAAAGATTATCTATTAATTCCATAGATGTTAATTTTGCATTATCGAGTGAATTAAGGCTTAATTTATGATAAACTAACACGGGTTTCAATAACACCCATAGGTAAATGCTGCATGCAATTTCAGTTTCCTTATTCTATTTCGTGACATTCGCGGTCAAGTCTAGACACTGAAATTGCTTTAGGTTATTGAAAATAGATAAATTAGGAACTAGCAATAATAAAAAAAATCATGAAAAGGAAAGTTTAACTGAAATAAGAAAGATTAGGAAAGAAGGGGAATACCAATGATCAGAGTGCAAAACAGCATGGACTGCTGATATCAAATGAGGAAGTATTCCCACTGTCCATCATGTTGATGGCTTAGATGGTAATTAAGTTTAGCAAAATAGCATCTACTACATCAATATCTGTAAATATGAGCTGTATTAACTGTAGCTTTCTTCAATTTTAAAGTTTCTTTTATTTTATAAATATATAAAAGCTATAAGTGAACAGATTGATATTGCTTCATGTTTCAAGTTTTAAAGAGTTTAGTATAATAAAAGCAATATACTATGGGAATGCATGAAAATATTTTTGCCTTTGAAAGCTATTTAAAACGAAAAGGGCGTTATAATGATCATTTTGAAAGAACATGTGAACAGTTCACGCGAATGGCTAGAGGGAGAGAAGAATGTGCAGGGTTTGCAAACTAAAAGAACTTCTGAAGCCAAGAGAAAGGATTTCAAGTGACTGTGGGAAATGCAGGTTCTGCTGGCTCCTAAGCCAGCCCTGAATCTTGATTTTGTTCCTCAACTCACTAAGAAATCATTGGAAACTCTAGAATGTCTAGCCATATATCATCAAGCTTTTATTTTAATTGACTATTCTGAATGCTTTCTGAAGAAAGAAATAGAATAAAAATTATGTTTCTCTAAAATGTGTATAAAAATGAAGTAATTTGTTTGGGATCATGTTTACTGATCATTATTTATAAGTAAGATAAATAACCTAAAAATTGCCTACATTTTATGACTCTCAGGATTCTGATTAGTTGTGGGTTTTATAAAAATCTCCTTTAAGGGGCTAGGGATATAGCTCAGTAGAATAAGCACTTGCCTGGCAAGTGCAGGGACCTGAGTTCAATCCCTGGTACCGCAAAAAACAAAACAAAACAAAACACCTCCTTTAACCACAATATGGTTGCTTCTATGTAATTCACTCTGTTTACCGCAAAAAACAAAACAAAACAAAACACCTCCTTTAACCACAATATGGTTGCTTCTATGTAATTCACTCTGTTTCTATCTCTTGAAAGAAAGTTTCATGCATATTATTTATCTCTTTTTTATTTTCTAGAGGAGAACTTAGTACTCAGTAAGTACTCTAGACATGATATGGAACCTAAAATTTGTTACCTCCTTAAAGAGCACTGCTTTGGTTTTAGCCAATACAAACTCAGATATTTCAGCCTGCTAAATATCCAATATTTCAAGATTGCTTTACATCTGAAAATATAGTTATATTTTGAGGACTTTTATAGACATTAAGCAACATATGTGAGACAAATTTCTTTCACTTTTAAAATTGACATTTGTGGGGGAATCTCATGTTAATCATTTTTCTCTAAAGCACACAGGTAAGTAGGTAAATAAAATCACCAATTGTCGCCAGTTAATAGTTAATTAGATATTTCTAAAAAATATGATTTAAGTCAATAACAATAATTCTGAACATACTATTTAAAATGTTTTCATGTAATATTTTACATTTAATCTACATAACTAGTGAAAAGTTTTCTATGGGAGGTAGATGAGACCCCTGAATAAATGTCTACTGCTTTTAAAATAATGTGGGAAATGTTTAAAAAAAAAAGGTATTAGTTTTTAAATGTCAGTGGGAATTATTATAGAAGCTGAGAAAATTTGAACACTGATTTGCAATCTATGAAGAAAGTATGGTAGACATGCAATTGAAAATTACAAATTATGGCTAAATTCTTATATGGCATCATTTTCAAACCATTTTATTAAGCTACCAGTTTATTAGTACCTTATCTTTTCTCAATCTGAATCACTGTTCCACATTCTCCAATATATTAATTTGTCAGAACAGAGTTTTTCACCAAATATGACAGCAAACTTTCTTATTTGTATGACAGTTAATATTTGCAATAAAAATATCTTAAATTACCCTATTTCTTTGAATGACAATTTTGAGGTTGTTTTGTTACTTTTTTAGTTAGCACAAGCAACTTTCCAAGGAAGTAAAAAAATACCTTTATGTTTCACAATATTTAAGAAAATATCAATTTATATTCCTTAGTACAAAGAAACTGTCTATTTAATTAAGTAAATTATAACTTTCAGCATAAACCCTATGTTTTTATGAGTACTAATATTTTTCATACAAAAGTAAAGACAGACAGAGCCAATGATGGAATTTAATTTTTTTAATGTATATATTTGGTACAAGGTCTCACTACACTGTGAGACTCATAGTGATCCTCCTGCTTTTAGCCTCCCAAGCACTAGGATTACAGGCATGCGTGACCATGCCTGGATTGGGTGGCCAGCTCAGTGCGCCCAGGGGTGTGGCCAGAGCTGTCTGTGGGGCTGGGGATCAAATCCCAGTCCCTGCACATGCCTCAGCATGTGCTTATTCTGCTATGCTATCTTGCCAGCCTCAGAGATGGAAATTTAATGGATGGAGATAACTGCATATTAAAAACTTATTTGAGAATGTGTGAGATTAGAGAAAAAAATAAATACTTACTGTATAAATTTTAATGTAAATGACTTCTAAAATATCTTTCTATGGATTTCCAATGACTCATGTAAATATGTCTTGAATGTTCTCTTTCTGCCCTCAGGATAGAATGTTTTTTTTAAATTACTTAAGTCATGGCCAGTATAAAGCATGACACTATACTTCATAATATGATGAGTTGAAAATGGCACAGATATTTTATAATTGAAATATGTTCAGTAAGTGAATGTTTCCAATGCTGCATCTATTCATATGAATGAATTTTTACCTAGCAGTACAATGAATTTTTCCTAAAAAAGGCCACATGCAACCAATCAGCAAGAAGTAGAAAAACATGTCTGCTACATTATTTTACAAAAGACAAACTTACATAAATTTAATATTAACTTATACTAATTTATATTACCGATACATGATTTGGTGGTACCCTGGGTCGTACTCATTTCTCTTAAAAATAATTAAGAAATTTAAGTAATATTTAATACTAGAGCCATAACACCAATCAATAATTGTTACTTTTTCAGCGTGAGAAGTCTAGTAACAGTACAATCATGATTTGGGCAATTGGTAATTTAGATGATGAAATACTAGGTTATATAAAACAAGCACTAAACATGTTTCCATTTTTCCAACCAAAGCATCTGTTTCTTTAAGTGTTAATTAGCAGTCATATAATACCAAAATCTCATGCAAACACTGAAAATTGCTATATGAGACCAATCATTTCTGTGTCAACATGTGCATGTACTAACAGGAACTGGCTGTGCAATATTTGCTGGACATTTTGATATCATAACCAGCATATAACAAGAAATAAGTATTAGGATCTCGTCTCTACTAACATTCCATTGCATTAATTTCTTTTTATTCTCACCCCCTCCCCCTCTAACCTTTGCACTGCACTTTGCTTTTTGTTTTAATTTTAACGTCTGTACTTTCAAGTTATTCAAGTTTTGGCTGCCACTATCTCTACTGTCCAACTATTCTGCCAACATCTTGGCTCACTTCCAGTTCATTATCTAATTAGAATCATAACGAAAAGATAGCTTTGGCTGTAACTAAATGGGGACAAGTAAAATAACATCCAATACCTCTATGAGTAACAACTGCAAGTTCTTTAGTCCTTTCTATCTGTTCAGCATTTCTTGTTCTTCTCCTTGCACTTTGTGTGTCTGCTTGACGAGGAGGGAGACCGTCCTTGGATGTGTTGGGGTCCAGACCTGAATTTCTGAGATTCGTAACTTGCACTCGCTGCTCCTCGGCAAGTCTATGGATGGTGACAGCTGTAACACTGGATACAGTAACATCTGCAGGAGTGCTAGCAACAGCAATAGCACCAGTGGCAGTCCTGTCATGCTCCTCTAACTCACCAGTGGAGGTAGTGTGGGTCAATGGAGAAGAACCTGTGGGACACAGTAGCACTACATGCTAACTTTTTCTTTTAAATTTTGTTTCTTTTTTTTTCTGATAATTTTAATAAGTTATTCTTTTCTTCTATTACCTTAAGGATAACCGACATGAAGAAGTAAAACACAAATGCTCCACTAAAATGTGAAGCACACCCATTCTGTAGGATTGTTTGTACCCAGCAACCTATGGGTCGATATTGCACACCAAATACAGCACATTGTCACTGAAACATATTGGGAGGGTGTGAAAGGTGTGATGCTTTCTGTCATTCTAAACCATAGCTTCTTTTCTCTTTTTAATCTAGACATGGATTTTAGAACATATGTCTGGCAATCCACAAGTTTTCATGGAACAGGTAACTACATCGCCACACTTTTCTCAAAAGTATGTTTTGAATAATTTGTGCTATATCTCTTCATATATGCTGGGAAAATATTTTAAAATGCATTTTAAGACAGGCAAATGAAGAACTGAAAAATTAAATGAAAGCAAAGACAAAAACAAAATGATGAAAAAATGAGACTGAAATTACCATATGTAAATATTTATTTGAACCTCATTTGACAAAAAGCATGTAAGAGTAAAATATTTAATGTCTTGAGATATATGCACTTTTAAATTCAGTAAAATCTTTGAAATTAGTTGCCATTTTCATTATTTTTAAATAAAAGTTTAGATTGACCAAATGTCAAGCTAATTAAAAGTACACTATTTTAAAAGAGGCCAAAAACTACAAATTAATAAGGGACTTTTATTCATACAAAATTAGTATGAAACATTTCATGATGCATGCGTATTTCCATCAGATACTATAACTACATATGGTATTTTTGAATCTTGTCTTTATTAGAGTTTTATAACAGTTTAAAAATGTGTTCAAAGGGCTACAGTGTAGCTCAGTGGTGGAACATTCACCTAGGGTGCTGGAGACATTGGATCAACTCCCAGCATGGCGATAAAAGCGAAAGGAAAAGCATTCTCGCTGCCAAATTATGATTTTCTTTTTCTTTGCACTTATCCTTGGCAAAGCCCTTCCCTAGCAGTGCATGCTCTTACATAACACGGCTCCGACAGCAATAGAGGCAGAAAACTCAGTGAGTGTATTCTTAAAGGGCCTTGAACCCAAAGTGCGGAGGAGATGAAAAGCATGCATTTGAGAGCTACATTATCACTAGGAATCATAGGCAGGTCCTGGTTAGAACACTCCATATTATTTTAAAGCCAGTGAATGGTGTGTGTTCTTCTGTCCCTTCTCAGCATTTGAAAATTCTGTCTACAATGTGTAATTAAATATTTTAGACAAAGTAGGGATGTTTTAGGCATTTTAAAATAGGAAAATAGCATAATAACTTAATATGACTGGAAGAGGCATTTTTTTCTCTTGTGATACAAGCAGGTACTTAGTAGGCCTAGTCATTCTTCATTTCATTTTAAAATTAAAAATAAAGAGAGGCAACCAAACATGGGATTTTATTTGTAGGCATGAAAACAATACATATCTGGAAATAATTCTCCCAGCCTACAGTTTTAGATAACATCTATTTTGTTATATATACAAAAAAGATTTAAATGTTGTTTATAGTTTGAGGGAACGAGAGGAAGATGAGGCGTAGAGATTATCAGATTATCCTAAATGTTTACATATTTAATATTTTATAGCATTACTCTGAAAAAGCTGCATATATATTTTATGAAGATTGTGACCCACTAAATCATGATGTTTATAGAAAACATGTAATGTTTACTGAGATAATATTTAATAAGTTCTGATTTAGTGACATAATCAAGAAATAACTGCTCGTGATATGATCATGCTATAATTAATCTCTTAGATATCACCATTTTTGTAATATTCATACACTTATTACAAAAACAGGTCTGTATTACTGTGAGAGGAATAATTAATAATAATAATTAATTAAGCACTATAATATTGAAAGGACATGGGAAAGTAAAATGAGAAGTTAAATACCTTGAGGTTATTCATAACTTCATTGGATTTGCAAGACTTCTGATGTTAAAAGCCTAATGTGAGCTTCACAAGCCCCTAATCTCAGCACACTGGCAGGCTAAGTCAGGAGAACTGAAAGTTAGAGCCCACCAGGGGCAAATCAGCCTCTTAATGAGACCTTGTCTAAAATTAAAATTAAAAAGAAGGACTGAGGATGCAACTCCATGCAAAAGCCTTAGTTTGAAACCCAACTACTACAAATAGTTAACAAATAAAATATAAAATTCTAGGTTTTTCAAATAGAGCAGATAATCACTTAACTAGAAACATGTGCTGCTCATTGTATGCAAAACGTATGCAAAATCATAGAAGTTCTACTCTGTTGCCAGTAGAAGTATTCCTGCCTTTAAGAAAGAAACAAACTGAGTGTTCACTTTTCATCATAGACTTATGACTGATCCAAAAATAAAATTTTCTGGCAGTTGGGTAAATAGTCCTTTGGTGATTCTAGGAACCAGTTTAGGTTGTTCTTGTAACAATTTACCCCAAACCTACAGCGTATAGGCAAATTCCAGACACCCATGTTCCAGAAGACCCTCCACGAGGTAAATGAAATGCCAGATCAAAAGCTGGAAGCTAAAGCTGATGTTTTGCACAATTTCTAACTCAGGATCACTAGCAACCCCAATCTTAAAATCTTGAGCATTAGAACTATAAGTCACACCAATCATCGTAGTAAACTGGTAATATTTCTTGACCCTGAATTCAGTATAGTTTTTAATACTACAGATAAAATCCTGGAAAAACTGTTTTCCATAACCATAATCTAACTAGATATTTTTTTTTTTTTTTGCAGTACCGGGGATTGAACTCAGGACCATGTACTTGCCAGGCAGGCACTTATTCTACTGAGCTATCTCCTTCGCCCTAGATAAATATTTCAAAAAATATTTTATTAATCAATTCTTATGCCTTAATATGCATTGTTTTCATGTTCTCTTTCCCTACACTACAAGGGAAGCTCCTAGAGTTTAATATATTTATGCATTTTGTGCATATTTTATTTTACACTGTTTATTGCTGAACTCCTCTTACACTGTCTAGAAAAAGTGCCTGTCATAGAGAGATGTTCAAGAACTGTTCTTCAAAGCAAAAGTATAAAGGATGAATATATTCAATAATGAGCTTACAACATAGCAGCAATTATGAAGAAAGGTAAAATATGACATATGAGTTACAGTAGGTACATATGAAAGTCACATTTTGAAGACCAACACAAATGAAAGGAAAATCCAAAGAATGAAGAAGAAATCATTCATTTTGCTTTCAGTTTTCAAAACTTCCTTTTGAAAAAGTGTGGACTCAAGATTGGATAGAAGAAGTCCAAATGGACAGAGCTGTAATGATTCCCAAACATGGACACTTTCTTTGGTGCTGTGAGCTGGGTCTACTCATGTATGTAAGGGGATACACATGCATGATCTTGTGCTATGAAACAAGCAGAATTTTGTCTACTGTTAAGTATATAAATGTGGGACATAGTGGAATAAAGAAATAACACCTACTTCTTTTGTAAGTCAATAAGTGAATCATCACCACTTAATTATATAATGCAAATGTAAAAACATTTTATTTAAAATGTAAACCAATGTAGAAGGTTCAGTTTATGAAACAAATTTTTAAATCATCAAGATCCATTACCTAACATGTTGAGAAAAACTCAAAATTTTCACATAAATAACTCTTATAGGAAATTTCCAGGTTGCAAAAAGCCTGAGAATTATGTAGAACAAAAATCTAATTTAATTATATAATATAGCTTACCCCAAATTAAAATGCAATATTTTATTTCTTTTGCTTAATGAAGTATGTGGCGTGATTATGTAAACTCGTCTTTGATAGCACAGTTAAATGCATACAACAAGACAGACAACTCAAATTAAAGGAAGAAAATGTACATTCAGAAAATTCATACTTCATTTGAAATCAAGTCATGTATACAACATGTAATTTGTCACAATTATATTAACCTGTCGTGAAGCTACTTGATATATAATTCTAAACAAGATGTTTACAATATAAAATGTATCTGACGTATATTGAACAGAATATTTTCCAATATAATAAAAATAAAATGAAATGGTTTACATATAAAAAACATGCTTCTATAGATTGTAATTTTATGTTGTATTTAAATTCATGGTAATGGAAAAATGATATGGTATACATGCACACTATCATATTTAATTAATAATATTGCATACGATGTTAAACTAGAATTTTGGTGTATATTGTAAGAAAATTAAATTTTGAAAGATGCAATGTATCTGCAGGAAACTAAGTACGACCCTTTAATAAATGTATCATTTAAAAAATATTCAAAATGAAACCTCATGTCAAAAGTAATTTGACCTTTCTATGTATTCAAGTAAAGTTTTAGTCCTGTGTATTATTTTCAAATTTGGCATGTTTCCTTGATGTAACCCATCCTATAAATAAAGAAGAGAATATGCTGCCAAAGGTGCAAATGAATGGGGCAATAAAAGTACAAATGTACATAAGACTAAATTAAAGAATATATTAAAGGAAATTTAAACAGTTGCATTTATATATGAATGTTTGGGACACTTTTTGATATCAGTTAGCTTTGTAGATTCTGTTCCTTCCTTTAATTTTATCTGAAGCATTTTAATGAACTTTTAACAGAATAATAATAAAGTATAACAATGAAAATGTAATAAACATCTAAAATGAAAGCATGCAAAACAAAGCCTTTACATACAAAATAAATATCAAAAATACCTAAGGCCTACTGACATGACAATTCCTTTACAGCCATAGCTTTATAAATTGTAAGTTTGTTTGCACTTTGTTTTCCTTCTTTTATTCTACATTAATCGCATGAAAATTATAGGGAAACACAGATGCAGGAGAACATTTGCAGATTAAACAAATATGAGGGTGCAATAAAGCAAAGCCATCGATCTGCTACGTGTAAATGGAACTGTTTCTACTAAGTATTCCATAGCTGCAAAAATAAAC